CCTCTTCTGCTCCCTACTGCCGCTGCCACTGCCGCCGCCGCCGGGCGAGGCCGAAACAGTAGCCATGTCCTTGTTCTCCTTCTCCGCCTCGTCGTCGTCGTGGATCTCCTCGCGGAAGCTGCTGTCGCGCGAGGTCCCGCTCTTGGCCTCCTTGGCCTCGGCGGCGGCGGCGTGCAGCGACATCACGGGCACCACTGGCTTCCCGGGACATAGCGCCTTGAACGGGTCGTCCTGCGTCGCGAGGTGGCAGGCGATGATCCGTGCCGACAGCACCGTGAGCTTCCGTGAGGCGTTCGTGCTCCGTGAGAGCGTCTTGCGGAACGTGTAGCAGGTCGCCGTGTCGCAGCGCTCCCGCTGGCAGCCGTACAGGAGCTGGTTCATATATCTGGTAATGATCCCCGCTGATTAATGCACACATTCTTCTCCCCCCGAACTAGAATTTGCGTGGGGGGGGGGTTGGGGGTGGGATCGAGGAGGGGATGGGGGGGGGACTGCAGAGGGGGAGAAGGAAAAAGGAAATAAAGTGCATGACATACCGCTTCACAAGGCCCTGGAAGCCTCTCCGCCGCTCCGCATCAACAACTGGCTCGATCTTGTCTGGTGCCCGGACATAGATTGTGTTTGCTATGATCACCTCTGGTGCGTTCGCGGGCAGCACTGCGTACTCGAACGAGTGGAGGCGCAACGCTGCTCGCCCCTCCTCCTCCTCGAGTTCCTTGTGCGCCATGATGGCGAGCTTTCTTGCTTTCTGGGAATGGGGTGCTGCTTGTATGTACTCGGTGGTGGGGATGTTGAATGGGGAAAAACTGTGATATGTGTTGAGAGAGCTGTCGAGGTGAGTGGTTTGGTTGAGGGAAGCTGGCCCGTAGGGACGCAGGGATGGATGGATTGACGAACTGCAGGAACGGGGATGATGCAGCGTTGAGTGAGTGAGTGGATGATGATGAGAGTTGTTGCTCGTCCTCCTCCAGAGCGCTGAGGAGGCTCTTTTGCCTGGTTGGTTGGTTGGGATCTGATGTCTGGATGTGGGAGATCTGTGAGCAGCTCTCTTTCTCTCTCTCTCTCTCTTGCTGAGGTTAAACAAATCAGGATCCGTGTGTGTCACTTTGCCTGAAGTTTGGCACTGTGCATAGTTATGAAAGTCTTATTAATTCTTAGTGGCAACACTCGCCAAGCGTACTTGGTCTAACGGTTATGATTTTCGCTTCCCAAGCGGGAGAACGGGGTTCGACTCCCCGAGTACGCATTGCAATTTTTGTGTTTTTTTGCATATCTGGGACATCCGTTTTGTTACACACAGAGGCCCAGAATGATGCTTATGCCAAAAAGTGCACTGAGGCGGCAGCGGTAAACACTCCGTATGTTTCAAAACAGGTATTCCATCTCTGCCCTAGATAGAATGGAGTACAATACCTACCTCATCACATTCAGCCCTCTACCCCGCAATGCCAATGCCATTCCCATACCAACAAAAGCAGAGTAAGACAAGACAACAGACCCATGGCCCATCGTAATCCATAACCACGTAGTTCCCCCATATCTACCAAGTATTATACAGGCCAGCGGGGAGCCTCGCTGTCAACTGGTGTCTCACGCCAATGTGTACCGAGTGAGATCCGGTGATTTCGTGGTAAGCGGCTGGTGGGGGTGGTGGGGGAGCTTACCAGTGTTTTTTTCTCTCTTTTTTTTTGGAGAGGGGGTTGGGGGGGTGGGGGGGTGGGGCTACGGGAGGCTTTATATTGGAAGCTCTAAATACCTACATACTTCCTGGAATTAAGCTATGGCTTTCCGGAGCTCTACAAACTCACTGCAGTCGGAAAGAAACCCAAGATACCTCCATCCCTCACAATCCGCGGCGAATTGAATCTCGGGGTAGTAGGGGAGGCTAGGTTAGAGCGAGGGAGTGAGGGAAGTGGGTTGGAGGCATATTGTATCTATTCTATGGAACGGTGACGGACGTGGACGGGACGCCGGTCTGTAACGGCACCCGCAGGCGGGCACATAACCAATTCCCATTCCCGGCCTCGGCGCCTGTTCTATCTATGTAGCCCGAGGAGGTAGGTGTCGGCTCATCCCATAGTCTTGTTATCACCAACCGTCACGAGCCCAGCGACTAGGTTAGTGACAGCTCATGGCTCGGCGGTGTGCCCATTGTTTCCCTTGCCAGCGCGCCAATCGACGTAGTAATAGAACAGGAACAGGAACAACGGGGTTATAGGAACAACGGGGTCTATAGGAACAACGGGGACAGGAGAAGCAGCCGCTGCTGTGCCACTCCGCTAAGAGGAAGGCTACAATTGCGCTGTCGCGGGTTGGGGGAGATAGGTATAACTATAGCTATCTCTTCGAGAATTGTGATTGGGGGGTTGATGTGACTCTTCGCTCCTCGGGTCGTTCGTTATGGTGATGTTTATTTAGAGGGTTATATCGGCAGGGTCCAAGGTGTTTCGTGAAGGGGAGGAAACGTAGCGTACCTAGGGTAGGTGACATGCATGGACAGCCCTGGTGTGTGTTGGTAGTGCTGTGCTCTGTAAAGTAGATATCCCCGTAGAATAGAGTACAATATCCTCATCCCCATCCATCATCCATCACTGTTCGTATCATCACCGTACGCGTTAGAGTAAAGTAGATGAGTCCCACTGCAAGTCCATCCCCAGCACGACTCTAGTCTACCTTCCTACCTTCCAAAAAGACAATTAGACAAGCAGTAGAGGAAACCAACGGACGGGTATGTATGCACCAGCACCACCGCACCGGCTACCTACCTACCTACCTACAGCATGAAATAGCTCAACCGCGGTCCCACAGTAACGGTAATTGAGATGCACCCACCACCCACTCTAGAATACTCCCAGAGTACGAGGTTCAACGGGCATCTTGCCTGCAAACACGAAAGCTTCTTCGCAGCAGGGGTTCCTTTTTTTAATTTTTCCGATCGGGAGAGTATGCGCTGTACTCTACGTCTGGCGTGGCTCTTTTCCGTATCTGGATCTCAGATGGCTTGCCCTTGCCCTTGCCCTTGCTAGGTAGAGTAGAGTGCAGTCGAGCACATAGAGTAGGTAGGTGCTCGACAGTAAGGTACATAGAGATGTATATGTGGGTATTAGGTGAGCGTGAGTACGAGAGGGGATACCTAGCCAAACTGGCAGGCTGGCTGGTGAGAGGCGAGGCGGGGTGCAACAGAAACGGAAGCCCCATCCTATCCTCTGTGATGTACGCGACCATACCATGCCGTCCTCTACTCTAAATACTCCTTCGAGTTCTTAAGTTCAGAGAGGGAAGGTAGACCACGCTAACCACTGCCCTCCCGTCTCTACCAGTGCCTCCAAGTAAGAATCGAGGGTACAGTAAGTGCAGAGGAGCTCTCCATATTCTACATATTCTACATAGCTGCTTACGCACCCAACCACAGCACGCGGGTGCTATCATGTAGTCTCAGTCGTAGTCCTTGAGAAGGGTAAATTGTGAGCAACGAATCGAGGGACGTAGACAGAGAGTTACGTATCATATGTTTTACCCAACTGGCTGGCTGGCCTTCTTCTCTCATTATCCTCTACTCGTAAACGAGTACATACATAGCTTACCCCCCCCCCCCCCTCTCTTCTTCTACCCCTCCGCCATTACCCATTGGCGACCCAGCCGGAGAGATAGAGGGTGAGGGAAACTTCCATGATAGAGCAATTCCAAGCTTGGAGTAAGGCTAGCTTGCACAATTTTTTTTTTCTCTTCCCGGCTCATCATCATGCTCGATGGGCACCGCGTTTCTACCTAAGAACATCGATAGATATCTATCTACCCTACCCTCAGTGCCTGCGAGTCTAGTGAAGTACACTTTCTCCATATGTAGAGCCTTCTGCAGAAAGTGAACCCCCCATGACGTCGCACCGCCAATACCACGGCTGCTCTTCAAACAGCACCTTTTTTTTCTCCTGCCTTCCAGGAAAAACAAATTCCCTGAGTATGTAGGTAGCGAGAGGGGTCGCTACCTACCTACATACCTGCCCACTCTCTAGAGTAGGTTCAATATGTAGGTATGTGGTAGAGTAGGTAGACTTCCATCAATCGAGTGATCACGAATGATCATTGGCTCTCCCCCATGGACCCTTCCCCCCCACCACCCAGCAGCACCCCTGATTCACCAGCACCACTCACCACCCACCCCCGCACCGCCTCGCCTGTCAGCCACAGCGCGTCAACCTCCCCCCAACGGCGCAGAGCCAATGGGCGCTCGCCAGCATACAGCGCGACCCACCCACATCCGCAGAGGGATAGGATGGGATTTTATCCATCTATCGTGACTGAAGCCTGTCTGCATGCAGACGTCGTCCAATGTCAGGGACGCTCGCCTCTCATGCAGAGAGGGAAATAGACGAGGAGGACTGACAGCGTGTACGTCTGCTCTGCTCTGGGGGTTGGGTACTGGGTTGGACGTTGGGCGTTGTTTTAACCTCCCCCTCTCGCTCGCTGTCTTTCGACTTCTTCTTCTTCTTCTTCTTCTTCTCTTCTTCTTCTTCTTCTTCTTCTTCTTTCTTTCTATTTACTTGCCTTGCCTGTCTGCTATCACGGTCCGGGCCTAGTTACGCTCTGCTTGATCTGCCTCTAGAATTACTTTGATTTGATTTGATTTTTCTATCTTTCCTGCTTCGTCTTCTTCTTGCTAGCTGCCCTTTTCTAAACCTCTACTTCTCTGTTGACCAGAAGGATAGAAAGACACTCACATTCCAATCACATCATCACATCCTCTGCTGTCACTAAGGTCTTACTCTCCACCTTCCCTATTCTATCCCCCATCTCCATCTCCATCTCCATCCCTATCACTTTTCAATATCCATATCCCGGTTCCTGGACTGCTTTGCATACATAGCACATCTATATAAGCTACCAACCCAACCACCGCAACCACCCTGAGACACACACTCTCACTCTCACTCTCAAAATATAAAAACACCGACCATCCATTCTGCACTGGTAAACACCACAGACAGAAAAGAAAGAAAAAAATGGCCGACGCATTGAATCTCCAGAACGCCCTCAGCGTAGCGCGAAACATCCCCGCCCTCACAGGCACCGTGACGGTCGTGGACGACGCCGGAAAGGTCGTGACCACTGTATGTATTTATCCATTCCGTCCGATCTCTTCCCCCTCCCCTGTAAACCCGCAAAAACCAAAAACCAAAAATATAGCAAAAAAAAAACAAAACTAACACATCCACCAAAAAGTCCAAAAACATCTTCTCCGCCTTCAAGTCCGCGCGCGAAGCCTACAAAGCCCGCAAAGCCGAGATCGCCTCCGAGCGCCACGGCGAAGCAACCCAACGCCGCCTCGAAGCCATCCAACGCCGCCCCGAGCTCATCGCCGCCTCCTCCTCCTCCTCCTCCTCCTCCTCCCGCCGCGATCACCGCTCCCACAGACAAATCACAGCCTCCGCCGACGACCCCGCCGCAGATGACGACAGCCAGCGCAAAAAGGACAAGAAGCGCTCCAAGTCACGCAAGCACCGCGGCGACGACGACGAGGGCTCCTCCCGCCGCGGCAGTGGTGCGGTGGTGAGACGGGGCTTGGCAGACACGATGCAGACAGAGTCGACGCTGGTGACCCCCGGCGCGCACGCGCAGCAGATGGCGATGCTGCACCACAACGCGTCGCTACTGACGCTTGCGCCGGTGGCAATGCTGGCCGGCGGGGACCCGCTGGCCGAGACGCTCCACGGGCTGCTGATGACGCTGCAGAGCACCATCGACGAGATGTCGTGCATCACGGCCGGCATTGGCGAGTTTATCAGCGAGCTCCAAAAAGTCCCCGACACGCTCGCCGTCGTCGGGCTGACACTTGCCGAGATCAGCGCGCTCGTGGCCAAGATCTCGCCGGCGGCGATCATGGGGATGAAGAGCGCCTTTCCCGTGATTTTCGGCTTGCTCAGTTCGCCGCAGTTTGCGGTTGTGGCGGGCGTGGGGATGGCGGCGACGGTGGTTGTGCTGGGCGGGCTGCGGATCGTGGCGAATATGGCGGGGGCTGGGGAGAAGGATGAGGAGGAGGAGGAGAGGGATTTGGATTTGGAGTTTGGCGTGACGCAGTTGCCGGATGATATTGAGGAGCCGGAGCCGCCGAGACGGGCGGCGACGGAGCCTGTGCCCGTAAGGGCTATTATGCCGGCGCCGCCGGTACAGGAGGGTTCGTTTGGTGCTTATGGTGTGGGGGGTGCAATGGCGGCGGCGGATGAGCGCGAGATGAGGAGGAGGATGAAGAGGCGCGAGAGCGAGAGTGCGGCGGCGGTGAGGGGTGGCAGGGCAGAGAAGGCGGGTAAGGTGGTGCCGCCGGAGAAGGAACGAGAGAGGGAGAGGGAGAGGGAGCGGTCACATAGGGACCGGCCCAGACTGGAGCGCGGAGAGAGCAGCCGCCGCCATGAGAGGTCGGATAAAGACAGGAGCGAGCGCCGCGAGAAACGGGACAAGAGCGAGAGACACGAGAGGAGCGACCGCAGCGACCGGAGCGGTGGCAGCGGCGGCGGACACGAGCGCCACGAGAGAAGCGATAGACACGAGCGCAGCGAGAGGAGCGAGAGGAGTGATCGGGGCGATAAGGACAGGAAGAAGGAGAAGAAGGAGAAGGAGCTGCCGCCACTCCCGCCCGCGCCCGCACCGTCAAAGTTCTCATTGATCCGCAGAGCGACGGCGCCGGCGGCGCCGATAGAGCAGCAGCAGCAGCAGCAGCAGCAGCAGAGGCCCGCACCGCCGAGGCGGACGCCGACGGGGTTGAGTGCGTTTTCGTTGGGGTCGTCGAAGTCGTCGTCGTCGGCGTCGTCGTCGGCGGTGGCGGCGGAGGAGCGGGAGAGGGTCAAGCCGAAGAAGAAGATGTTGGCGTTCTTTGATGGGCGGTCGTAGGTTGTTTGTGGTTGTGGTGGGTTAATGTGGGATGTGGGATGTGGGATGTGGGATGAGCGATGATTTTTTTTGTGTGGCTTTGGCTGTTTATACACTACTTACTACTTACTGGCGTTTTTTTTATTTTTATTTTTATCTCTTTATACACTTGTGTTTGTGCGCTGTTGGTGGTGGTGCGTTCTTTAATGGGTAGCTACTAGCTAGATATGTAGGTAGTTGCAATTGTCTCTTTGAGTTTTGAACGCCCACTTTTTTTTCTCTACTTATTTGGAGGCTTTTTTTTTTATCTGTGTAGCCTTTTCTTTTATGGTGTTTGCTTGCTGTGATTGTCGTAGCTACATAGAGAGAGTTACAGTAGCTACAGTAGAGTGAGAGAGGTTGGGACCTACATATTCATACTTGCTTTTTTCCCTTTCTTGCTTTTTGCTTTTTTGTCCTCCTCGCGATAAAGAAAGTACTATGCAGCAGGATGTAAAGTTTGCTGCTCAATTGGCGAATTGGTGTATGGCCGATACTCTACAGATACAGAGCTCCGCGCGCTCAGTTCCATACCTATCCTTGATAATCATATGCGGAGTAGGTAGGTATTCCTTTTTTTGCACCCACCCACACCCACACCCACATGCGGGATAAAAAAGCAAAAGCACACGCCCACACACCCCCCATCGAGATTGAGGGTTTGCTTTCTACCGGCTGGAGCCACGTTCCCGTGAGCTGTGATTGGGTATGCCGCTTTGGGAAGTGAGTGCAAGTGGGTTTGGGGGGATTCGGTGCTTCATGGGGTGTCACTCGGCGTCATTTTTGGTTATGTTTAGTTGTAGATTCGGTATGGGACGAGTGGGTGAGTGATTGTTAGAGTCATCTATTTCCGAGTTAGTTATCTCCGCTAGCGAATGCGATATACCTAGAATAGGACCCACCCCCATACATATCCAGCAGCTCACATATGTATGTATCCACCCAGCATCCCACCTTCCTTCGAGTCATACATACCTCCGCACAGACCCCCAGTCCAACAACCAGAAGCGCGTACATGCCCCTCAACGCGTTACCTCTGCGCCCTCACGCGAAACCCGGGCACCTGGGTTGCAGATTCAAGATTTGCGGGGCGGGCCAGGCACATCTTGAAGGGTTTACCCCGGAGGCGGCGGGTTGGCGTGAGGGTGCGAGTGAGGGGTTGTGAGCTTGACGAACTTGGGTATGGGGGTTGTGTGTTTGTGGGTGTTGGCGGGTAGCTGAGTGTGAGGGAGGGTGAATGGAGAGGTAGAGGGTAGAGGGTAGAGGAGGAGGGAGGGGGCTATAAAGCGCTGCCTGCTGGGGGTGTTCGAGAGAGGGAGAAAGAGAGAAGACTGAGCCAGTCTGGATATCGGTCTTGTCTGAATACCTGGCTGCTTGGTTAGCTGATTTCCTACGACTTTGAACTGTGCAATATAACACTACAATACCTACATGTACTCTACTACAATCCAACCAGCCCGCCTACCAGTATCTACCCGTAACCCATCGAACCCTACCGAACCCCCTACAAACACTGCCCCACCCCCCCCTCCCCATAACCACACCTCAATGTTCCAAGCACCCACCGCACCACTTCTCTACAACATCCCCCCACGACCGTTCAAGAACGAGCCCAGCCCAGACCCAATCCCACCGTACCGCAGCATGACCGTGCCCCAGAACAACAGCTACCACGCCCCAGCACAGATGCTCGTGGAGAACCGTGAGCACTCTGCCCCGGCTGCGAGGCGTAGAGACGACGAGTTGGCGGCAGCAGTTGGACAGGCGAAGGTGCCGCCGCCGTCGGTGAATGAAGGAAAGTCGGTGAATGGTAATGGTAATAGTGTCAGTGCTGTGGGAGTAGGGAGTACAGGGGATGGAGAGCTCTATTCGGCTCCGCCGCCGCCGGCGGATCCGGGGGTTGCGGTGAGAGGTATGTTGACTAAATGTAGTTTGCTTGCTATACTACCCCCATAGGCCTTTCCCTGCCCGCTCGTATTCTTTTGCAGAAGATATTAGAAGCAGTATTGGTATTAGTAGTAGTAATAATAGTGGTGGTGGCGGTGGTTTTCCTGTAATATTACATATTAACATGCATTCTAACCCCTCACCTAAAATAGAAGCCAGAAACCCTACGTCACTTGACGCCGAAGACACACCCATGGCCGAAGCGTCCGCCGATAGCGGCCTTGCCGTCCTCGGTGGCGGCATGCGTAGGATGGTGGATCTTGTGAATCGGCTGCGGGCATCGGGGATTGAGGATCTTGGGCTGCCGTTGCCGCGTATTGCGGTGGTGGGGAACCAGAGTGCGGGAAAGAGTAGTCTGATTGAGGCTATTAGCGGGGTAAGTTTGTTTGTGCGGATGGGGGGAGATATAATGATGGGATGGAAGCTAATGTGCGTGGGAGGAACAGATTAAAGTGCCGAGATATACGGGGACTTGTACTAGGGTAAGTACTAATCTTATATGTTTGTACCTGTGGTTTTATAATTGCTGGTTTGGCACACCACAACCCACCAATATAACGCTCCTCACCTACCCACAAAGCTAACCACACGTTCCTGTACGTAGTGCCCCCTCGAAATCAACCTTTCCGAAGCCAGCCACCCTCGTGATAGTTGGCACTGCCATATCTCGCTGCGCTTCAAGAAGCGCTACGACCCAGACACCGTCTCCAAGAACACCTCCACGGGCCGCAGTTCCTCGCCCTGGGTCGAGCAAAAGGCCGAACAGGTGGCCTTCCTCGACATTGTCGACAAGTCGCAGGTCGAGCGCGCGCTCGTCGCCGCGCAGCAGGCCGTCCTGAACCCGAGCCGCAACTGGCGCGAGTATGCGCGTGAGATGGTACCTGTTGCAGCGGGAGGCGCTGCTGGGCTGAAGTCGAGGGTTGGCGGTGGCGGTCATGGGGCGCGAGGGAGGAGGGGGGGCCAGGGGAAAGGGGTTAAGGATGGAGAGGATGGGTTTGAGGTCAAGTTTAGCCCGAATGTGGTTTGTATGGATGTGTGTAACCCCCTCCATATTTGTTTTAATTAATTGATTGTAGTGGGAGTGGGTGTATACTGACTGAAGCCGTGAAAAACAGATCACTGCGCCGGACTTGCCGAACCTGGCGTTCATTGATCTGCCGGGTCTTATCCAAACCACGGAATCGGTAGGATCGATCATTGGCTCTTTTGTTACTATTTTCTTACTATTCCAGTTAGTGGGGTTTGCTAATAATGAGGGGGGTAATGATCGGTTTTACAGGAAAGTGAAAACTACTTGATTGACTTGGTAACCGGCTTGGCAAAGGAGTACATCAACCAGCCGGATTGTCTGATCCTGCTAGCGCTAACAATGAAAGGTTTGGCTGCCCTGTTTCATGAGATATCACTCGCACATGCTAATAACGACCGGTGTGCAGACGACGCCGTCAACCAGTCTGCAGCCCGCATTGCCCACGAGTATGGCGAAGAGAGAACTATTGGTAAGTGCCAGATAAAGACCTAGATAATATACCCATACCCACTTGGAAGATGTAAGTATCTAACAAACAAACCTTTATCACCAACCATTTACAGGCGCCTTGACCAAGCCTGATACCGTTGGCCCCGGAGAATACGACCAGTGGGTCAACATCCTCCGTGGAAACTCCCACCGCCTGAAGCACGGCTACTTTGTCACAAAGCAGCCCAACCAGGAGCAGCTCAACCAGAAAATCGACCACGCCCAAGCCCGCGCGCAGGAAGCAGAGTTCTTTGCCAAAAGCGAGCCCTGGGCAACAGACCTTCAGGACCTCCAGCACCGCTTTGGCACCCAGGCGCTGCAGAGCTACCTTGCCAAGGAGCTCGGTGAGCTGATCAAGAAACGGTACACATAATCTAGCGATTCTCCATTTCATTTCCCCCTTCCCTTTCCCTCCCTTGTGGTTTAATTTTGCGCGTGCTGACCGACATACACCAAGGCTCCCGGACGTGATCAAACTGATCAAGGAGCAGCACGCCGAGGTTAAGGAGAAGCTCGTTGCGCTACCTCCCCCACCAACCGACAACCAGCTCTTCCTCGTCTACAACCTCATCCACGGCTTCAACGCCTCGCTCAACAAACATCTCCTCGGCGACAAGGACAACAACGAGTTCCCACACGCGCTGCGCCAAAATACGGATCAGTTCATCCGCTCGCTCGGCAGTGTGCGGCCCACGCTAAAGGTCTTTGAGACATTCAAGGAGGAGAATGATGTTGTGCGCATGCTGGAAACACCCAGGAAGGAGAAGGACAGGAGCCATAATAATGCTCACCTGCAGCAACAGCAGTCGGTGAGACGTGCCCAAGTGGGAAACGGAGCGGACCCGTTTGAGCGTGAGAGCGAAGGGTCGCCATCCTTGAGGAAGGGGAAGAGGTATCAGCAGGGCCCGGAGGTGCATACCCTCTCAAGTGGCGATGAGGGGACTGTTGCTCATGTCAAGAAGCGAAAGGTAACTAACGAGGCTACGGTCCCCATAACGCCCAAGAAGCTCAAGAGGGTAGATGAACGTAAGTTTGAAAACTCCCTAGGTGTTTTTTTAGTCATTGGCCCTGTTTAGCGGGTGAACAAGCTCCCCCAGAATCTCCACTTATTGTGTTTTTTTTTGATATCATAGAACACAAATACAACCTCCCCCAAATCCGACACATTATTGACTCCACCGCCACCGCCCAAATCCCCGGCCAAGTCGACCCCAAGGCTATCGAGAATCTCATCAAAGAGACAATCTACCTCTGGCGCCCCATCCTCGAGAAGTTCATCGCCGACTCTGCCCAGCTCCTCAACCGCCGCGTGCACAACTGCTTCGTCGAGAACTTCGAGACCTACAAGAAGAGCCCCATCTTCGTCGAGGTCTACACCATCCTCCAGAACCAGCTCAAGGAGTCGTATGAGCGCCTCAACGAGGCCGGCGCCCGCCTGTGGAACCTGGAAGTCAACCAGATCTGCACGCTCAACGACGAGGACTACAAGAAGCACATTTCCAATCACTCGCGCATCCTCAAGGAGCGGCGCAAGCGCAACCTGCTCGAGCAGAACGAGCACCGCGAGCAGCAGCTGCAGGCCGAGAATAACGGGGGATCGTCGCGGAAGCGGAAGCTTGGTGGGGGCGGAATGAATGGCGCGGGCGGGATGGCGATGGGCTCAGACGATAACCCGATGGATGATCCGTACAGCAAGGAGATTGATGTGCTGGCTGAGGTCAGGGCGTACTCGGAGGTCGCGCAGAAGAGGTTCATTGATAACGTCTACATGACGGTCAGGTTTGAGATTGCAACGGTGTTTTTAAAGGCGGTGCCAGTGGCGCTAGATCGTGATTTAGGGCTGCAGAGACCTGATTGTATGCGTAAATATATCTCTCTATTCCTATATCCTATCCTTATCGGTATGCCGGGAGTTGTTTTTTTATTGATATTTTTGTGGCTAACATTCACCACTGTGACCTCAGCGAGCCAGGTTTGTGCGGCGCTCCTGGTGGAGGACCCACAGAAGGAGAAGGAGCGGGGAATCTTGCTGCAGAGGAGCGAGCAGCTGTCGAGGGCGATGGAGGAGTTGTGTCGTATCACGGACTGAATCTACTTTTTTTATATTTATATTTTTTTTATTTTTTATTTCATTTTATCTAGCGTGGTTAGTATAAGTGACGTTGTTGATGTTGATTCCTCTCTTTTTACTCCTTTTTCTTTGCGTGATATGTTGTGTTTGTGCTTGGGGCGTGCTCGATCATAAATTACTATATGTAGGTACTCTAGAGAGACATTTGGAGAGAAGGGGGAAAGGTATAGTTACTTATGTAGGGCCACTATCTGCTCTGAGCCCCAAGCTTTCTTTTCCTTTACCAGCAAAGGCTTTTTTTCAATGAACGAAGATTTCTTTTGTTTAATTTTATCTCCAACCATCTGTGCCACCCTAGGGAGCCCAAGCAGTGTAGCTGATAAGATTTGGAATCAATATATAGTTGTGTCAATATCCTTGTCCAGCCTGCCTTATGTTTGTAGTTGTGTATTGAATGGTGCTTGTGTAATAATGCTGGCTATCTAAGGGGTGGTTAGGCATGAATCAGCTTGCAGATGGAGCATTCACTTCCGTTGAAGGTAGGTCGTGTATTAAAGCTCCAACTTTTATCGACTCCTGGGCTAATATAAGACCAGATAGGACAAACGCTCGAACATTCTTGGACAGCGGGTTTTTTTACTACTCGACACCGTGACCTTACTGCCTTAAACGACATACATATCCAATAAGCCCATGTCCTTGTCACGAGTGATTTCACGTGATCGGCCATTCCAACGCTTATAAACAAGCTATATATAAACATAAAGGTAATAATATTAACTGACCACCTCATGGCCCACTTTAGATATCTAAGTATAATTAACGACCGTGAGATCTTCATCTAGCATTAAAGTCCCTCGGCCAGAGGGCATCCCTAAAGTTGCTCCCCCACCCCAAATCATAGATATTATCAATTTCCCCGAGTCCTTGGACACGGCGCCATATTATGCCCCTTGGTATATCCCCCCTATTTGTGGGGTCAATACGGTAGAATAGCTGTGTCGTGACTCGTGGCCAGTCACGACACATCTCGTCTGCATCGAGCTCTGTTATATCATCATCTTCCTCGGGGTCGGCGAGTAAGATGTCGCCATTTTTTATGTCATCGCGCCAGTCAGACCACTTGATCGTCTCGTTGGTGGTTGTGCCAGCCCAGATTAGGTACCTAAACTTATTAGTTACTGTCAGAATTCGATTTCGAGGGAAGGGAATATTACAGGTGGTAAGTTGTGAATGCAAATGATAGTACGCCGGTCAACGCGCAAAGAAGGAATACAGCACCGATGTATATTTCTTCAACTATGGCAATGCCAAAGAGATGGAGATAAACAGACCACGGGAGAGTCCCGATGGCGATTTGGGATGGTATTAGGGCCCGGACTATGAAAGACTGAATTATGCTGAATGAGAGGTATAAACCATAACTTAAAAGGATATTTGTTGCGGCGAGGAATGCGAGGAAGTGGCGCGTATTGAGCTGTCCTACGCAGTTATTTATCCAAACCTAGGGAGTTTTTGCGTTAAAAGCCGCACTCAGTGTATGTAGTATTGTAGATAACTCACACAATGATGATCATGCTTTGCTATGCAGTGCTTGCCTAATCCGTTTAGAATTGATATTAGCCTCTTAATAATGCGCTATGCATGGACTCTTTGACCTACAGATAGAACAATGTTTAGATCGTGCCGGCTTTGCTAACTGACAAGTTCGGCATATGTTTCCAGGTCTGAAATTAAGGTGGTCGTATGGATAGCATTGTAGGGACCGTTGGTGATTCTCCGGGGTAATAAAGCCTGGATCCGAAGTAGCAGCAAGATACATAGTTATATATGGAAGTGTTGCTACCATTGGGATGCACATTCTTTTTTCACGCATAAGTAAGTCCACGAACTACTTAATACGGAGCGTGAGAGGAGGTAACCATAACACACCTATGAATCAGTGATAGATGCTTCCAGCCATCTTTGGTGAACATGTATATCCCACCGGTTACAAGTGTCAAGTAAAACGCCTAATTTTATCTTATTAGGACCGGTCTCTAGAACATTGGTGAAATTTTAACCTGCCATAATGATTGGATGTTTTTCATTCATAAGATAGTCCCCGGTTCCCATAAGTACGGGACCAAGGCGACCGCAGGTTACCGCCCTGTCGAGAGCGAAAAACCATCTCGGAATAGTTTTCCATAGGAACCGGTGCGCAAACCCTATTGGCGTATTTCTTTCAAAAACAACAACGTATATTAATAACCAAAGTACGGGTCAATACTAGAGGGAAGAGAAATTAATCAGGGACAGGTATGAAAAGAAACAATTAACTAAAAGCCTAATAGGAACAGAAATTCCAAGAATTATGAGAGCTGGCGAAGGGGCGATTAAAGTCACCTTAATCCTGGGACATGCCCGAATAGCGCAATAAATACCAGAAGCGATATCCCAAGGACCACAACTGCGACGTCCCGAACTGCGCCCATCTCTTATGACCCCAGGTCTTGTGCTAGCTGGGAGATGAGCCTGTTGATTGAATTCTCCGTCCTTTTGTTCTTGAAAGAAGATGTCCTTATGAGTTGTTGTCACTGAACAGCTCGGGCCCACGTAACGCCACTGGAAGCTCAGGGAGTACTAACGTATTCTACCGTGGAAATGATCAACACCGGGAAAGTGACTAAGCAGGACCCGATGTTATTATACTATGATTGCGCCTATAATTGCTACTTATGTGCTCTCAGCTTCCTCCCAGACCTCGTACTAATACTACTTTCTATACTAGGGACTTCTAAACTTCTTCTACTTGTAGTTCTATCTATATATGCAGGTGAGACCTCAAATTCTTGACCACCCTCGCTAGCTGCACCCTCATCAGTAGAGAAACCGTCCCCCTCCTCAAAATGCACAATAGGAGTTCGCTGAGATGCCTGTTTGGCCGGGTTTTTCTTCTTTTGAATTCGGGGTTTGTTCTCTTCCTGTTCCTCCTTTTCTTTTTTCTTGAGAGCGGCCCTGACCTTTTTCTCATTTGCGGCCCTATCCTTCTCTTCCTGTTGTGCGCGCAACTTGAGAACACAATCTACAGTTACTACTAGTGCTTTTGAGAGTACTTTACGGCTTTTAACCTTTGTCATATCTGTTTGTCCCCGCTCCCGTAACCTCTTGAGCTCCTCCCGCAAAATGACATTTTCAGCACTTGATTGCGCTGCCGCATTGGCCAGTTTTTCAACCATAATTTGACGGTATGCAGATTGAGGTGTCACGCTATGAAAGAGTGACATTGTTCGCCTAATATGAGTGTGTACGCTCTTTCCATGTTGAGGAGTACGGGGTGCTGTAGTTGGGTTGTTGCCATTTAAATTATTGGTTTTGATTTTAGTGTATGCGGGTGAGTTAGATTTCGCAACGAGTACTTCGGAAATGATATTCAATGGACGTCTATGATTGAGTGGGTAGATGCCAGTAGCTTCAAAAGCACTTTTAATATTCTTTTGTGTGTAAGTAAGTTCCCGTGCTTTCATCAAAAGACTGTCCGTATGTTAATATTTTTCTTCCCTATAGGGTCGGAAATGGGGAGACTCAACGGGAAGAAAGTTCCTTTATGTATGCCACAGTTCTCACGTTCTATAAAATCATCTAGCAATCTTGAATAGTTGCCTTGTAAAGGACCAAACAATCCAACATCCAATGGTTGTAAGAGGTGTGTCGAGTGTGCCGGCAAGCAGAGAGGAATAATATTGTAACGGCAATATTATCTGTCCGCTAGGATGACCGATCGAGTTGAGGAGGAAAGGTATTGCGCAGTTGTATTAGGATTTGTAATGAGGTTTCTGTTTTGTTCTTTGGGTTTCCGTTACGCGGGGTATTAGTCATCAATGGACTAGAGCCTGGATATATAAAGGGGTGTTGTCTCGTGCCTTTTCATGTTTTCCTTCCTTTCCTTTTCTCTTCACGGAACTTCTTGTATTTACTCCACGAATACTACTTTTGTTTTACACCTCGTCATAGGGCTTAACTAGTTAGTTATACTAGGCAGAGCCACTCCATAGTCCACAGTCTCGAATACCTATTGCTACGTCTTCGCCTCGGTTGTATTCCTTGGCATCATAGTCCCTACGTCCATAGACCCCCGTTACACCAAGTTCCGTCCTCTATTGCCAACCAATACAACACCATAGTCTACCATGTCGGCACATCTCCCTATTGATTATCAACAGCTAAGCGATGCCCTTCAGACCTTCTTTCAAGAACATCCAGAGGTAGATGGCAATGTTGGAATAGAAGCCTATGCACTTCTTCAACGAGCACAACATGGCCTTGCTCAGTATGCAACGGACTTACAGGGGGTGGAGAGGGAGGCTGGAAATGCAAGGGAAATGTTCGAACGAGATCTAGCCGCTGCCAGGGCCCACCGAGTCGCTGTTGAGGTGGTTGCCCCTGATGAAGAACCAATCGGAGAGGATAATGCCCCACCGGTACCTCCAGTTCCACCTGTTCCAGTGGTCACCCAACGGTCGGAAAAACTCCCAGACCCTGAAGTATTTAAGGGAGATCGCGATCGAGAAAGACTACACCTATTCAAGCAACAGATGAAAATCAAGCTATTGGGAAATGCCGACCGCTTTCCCACACTACAGTCCAAGTTATCCTATGCATTCAGTCGACTGGAGGGCGTTGCCGCCAATCAGTTTTTACAATATGTCGGAGAAGAAGGCATCGCTTTGCCTTCTATGTTACGGTTTTATGAAATCTTGGATACTGCTTTCGGGGACCCAGATCGAATGCGTACGGCTAGGAGGAACCTTAGGAACATTCGTCAACGAAACCGAACCTTTGCTGATTACTTCGCCGAATTCCAACGGTATGCTGCCGAGTCAGGGATGGATGAAGTCTCTAGGATTGAGGCTTTGATGGAAGGCATTAATGCGGAACTCGATGAATCAATGATACACCATGAAACTCCTGTGACGGTAGATGCATGCGCAATGCTCTTGCAACGGTTGGACAATCGCCGTCGAGCGGCAGAAGCTAAACGAGGAAGTAAAAAGCCTTGGAATGCTACTGCTGCCCCAACCCCTCGTCCCCCATCAGCGAATCCTGTGCCTACCCCTCGCGCTGCCGCCCCAGCTGTCAATGCACCTACTCCTGAGAACCATCCCTCGTTTCGCCCGGGAGGTGATGTACCAATGGATCTGTCCGGGGGACGTCGTCGCCCCACCCCTACTGAAAGAAACGCCCGCTTAGCTGAGGGCCGATGTTTCTATTGCGGAGGAGTCGGACACATGGTTAGAGATTGCCCCCAAGCGAGGGCAACTGGAAATCAACCAAGGAGACCGGTGATGAGAGGAGCAGCATTGAGGGTAGAGGAAAATGATGGAAGCGATAGCGAGTCGGCAAAAGATTTGTCCCTGCACTAAGTGGCTTAGCACAGGGACCATTTAAGGATTTTTCTGAAATGCATATTTCTGGTTTTTCGGTATCTGAGGAGGAAATGGATGGGAACCAATTTGTAGTAACTTGTTCGATTTCACAGAATAAAAATACTTTCGTACCCACCTACGCCCTTATTGATACCGGAGCCTCAGGATATGCTTTCATCGATGAATCTTTTGCACGCCACAACAATCTCACCATGACCCCACTTAAAATACCACGCCACGTAGACGTTATAGACGGCAGACCTATCAAATCAGGAAAAATTACTCATATTGTCGATGTCTCGCTAGATATTCATGGCCATCGAGAAACTGCATCATGTTTTGTGACAAAGTTGGGACACTATCCGATCGTGATGGGGATACCTTGGATGCGACGCCATGATGTTACAATTCGACCAAAGGAAAATTTACTTATTTTCGACTCCCAAAGCTGCTGTCAACATTGTTCGCTTAGTGGAACTGCAATTACAGTTCATGGTATATCAATTCCCTTACCTGAAACTCATACCGTTACCGTCTCGGCAACCGAAAAAACTACCATCGATATTAAACGACTGATACCGAAGGAGTTCCACCGCTATATCCACATGTTTGAAGAATATGACGCTTCAACACCCCCGCCGCATCGACCGTTCCATGATATGAAGATAGTATTAGAAGAAGGCAAACAACCACCATGGGGACCAATATACGCTCTATCTCAAATTGAGTTGAAGGCACTTTGGGACTACCTTCAAGAAAATCTGCCCAAGGGAATTATCCGCCATAGTGAATCGCCAGCAGGAGCACCGATACTATTCGTCAAGAAAGCCGATGGAACTCTTCGTTTATGTGTCGACTATCGAGGCCTCAATGCAATTACGATTAAGAATCGTTACCCATTGCCGTTATTGAAGGAAACTTTGGCCAAATTGTCAAAAGCAAAATACTACACCAAGTTAGATTTACGTTGGGGATATAATCAAATCAGAATAGCGGAAGGAGATGAATGGAAAACAGCATTCCGGACTCGGTACGGACATTTCGAATATACGGTGATGCCCTTTGGATTAGCGAATGCTCCTGCTACATTCCAACATTGGATCAATGATATCCTACGTCCCTATTTGGATCAATTCGTGACAGCTTATTTGGATGATATCCTTATCTATTCCGAGTCTCTTATAGAACATAAGGACCATATTCGAAAAGTTCTAAAAGTACTTGATGAAAATCATGTTCATCTCAAACCCGAAAAATGCGAATTCATGGTTCAAGAAACAAAATACTTGGGCCTGATCCTCACTCCGAATGGAAATCGAATGGATCCAAAGAAAGTTATTGATATTTTAGAATGGTCCACACCGATGAATCTCCATGATGTGCAAGTATTTTTGGGATTTGCAAACTTTTATCGACGGTTCATCTTGGGATATTCAAAAATTGTTGCCCCACTTACAGCCCTAACAAAGAAAAATGTTAAATTCGAATGGACGGATGAAAGGGAGGAAGCATTTCAAACCTTGAAAAAGATGTTCACAACAGCACCTATACTAGTTCATTTCAACCCGGATCGAAAAATTGTGGTGGAAACCGATGCATCTGATTATGTTTCAGCAGGAATCCTTTCACAACGTGATGATGAAGGAGTTTTACATCCAGTCGCTTTCTTTTCCAAGAAACATTCCCCTGCGGAATGTAACTATGAAATCTATGATAAAGAACTTCTAGCGATTGTTCGATGCTTTGAAGAATGGCGACATCATCTAGAAGGAGCACAATTCCCCATTGAGGTTTTCAGCGATCATCGAAACCTGGAATATTTCGGAAACAACAAAAGTCTCTCCTTTCTATGCCAACTCGGGAAGAAATCCCAGGATGACGTTTGGTCCCTTGGAACACGGTAAAACGACAGCGGAAGATCAAGCCAACAGCATTGCAAAGGAAATGAAGGACATGGTGGAGTTTCTGAAGAGCGAAATGTTTCGGGCGCAAAGGATACAAGAGGAATCAGCTAATCTTAATCGTTCTCCTGCTCCTCGCTATCGTATAGGAGACAAAGTTTTCTTGTCGACCCGCCACATTCTAACAAGGCGACCCTCCAAGAAGTTTGATTGGAAACGGATTGGTCCTTACAGCATCAAGCGAATTGTCAACCCCTATGCTTATGAGCTAGAACTTCCCCGCTCCATGAAGATCCATCCAGTATTCCACGTGTCATTGTTATCGCCTGAAGCGGGTAACCCATTACCTGGACAACAACAGTCACCACCACCTCCAGTTGAGATCGAAGGGGAGGAAGAATGGGAAGTTGAGGAGATTGTGGACTCTAGGAAACGAAGGGGTGGCTTTGAGTATCTGGTACGATACACTGGATACGATGATGCCTCTTGGCAACCGCTATCGGACCTTGAGCATTCACCTGATATTGTTCGACAATTCCATGAACGTTATCCACGGAAACCTAAGCCTACCAGGAGATAGGCCTTAGAGGGGGGCGTAATCTGTAACGGCAATATTATCTGTCCGCTAGGATGACCGATCGAGTTGAGGAGGAAAGGTATTGCGCAGTTGTATTAGGATTTGTAATGAGGTTTCTGTTTTGTTCTTTGGGTTTCCGTTACGCGGGGTATTAGTCATCAATGGACTAGAGCCTGGATATATAAAGGGGTGTTGTCTCGTGCCTTTTCATGTTTTCCTTCCTTTCCTTTTCTCTTCACGGAACTTCTTGTATTTACTCCACGAATACTACTTTTGTTTTACACCTCGTCATAGGGCTTAACTAGTTAGTTATACTAGGCAGAGCCACTCCATAGTCCACAGTCTCGAATACCTATTGCTACGTCTTCGCCTCGGTTGTATTCCTTGGCATCATAGTCCCTACGTCCATAGACCCCCGTTACAAATATCATGCTCCAAACAGAAATCGAAAAACTCCCAAGCGACGTGTGAGGTATGCCCATCAATTATCAGTAACCGTTTGTTTCCTCCTGCTCTATATAATTTAATTAGGAAATACTTTAAAAGCACTTCAGTAGTAATTTGATAGTACTTACCTGTCTCTTGTATTCGGTTCAAAATTGTTGTGAAGATATGATAATCCTATCTCCCGATTGGACCAACCAGTAGTCGAAAAGCTGAAATAGGCTTTGTCACCTGCTTTCACCAAAGCATGCCATCCTTCATATTGTGCTACTCCTTTATATACAATCGTTGGTGGTAGGTAATCACCAACTGCCGATACCGTCTCCAGGACAGTTATGAGACTACGGTCGCCATCATGAACTTTGAAATTTCGCTTCTTTCCTTTCTGACAGATAACTCTGGTAGCTCTCCCCTGTCCCATTAAAAACCCTTTTTCGTCCATATTATATGTGTTTTCTGGTAAAATATGGTGCTTTCGGATCAGTTCATGGAGCTGCAGTAACGTTGTTAGTCGCTTATAGGCTAAATTTCTGATTACACCACCGGTTAAAGCTTTACCTTTTTGAAAAAGTCCTTAATCACTTTGGGATTATTAGCGAAGCCCCTTTGCTTGTCTAGCCGAATTGCGAATTTTGACTCCAATTCTGGGTGGCGAGTAAGGAATCTAGTGGTCCAATTAACCCCTAAATTCGGATTTTTGACACCATGGCTGCGGACATAATTGGTGGCCAAGTCTTTAACATATTTCATACGGGGTGGGAATCCCCATATATCTAGTTGAACAATCCAAGCCACTATCGCCTTCTCTTCTGCAGGAGTGAGAGCTTGCTGATCTATATGCGAATGAGTTTTAGACTGGACACCGGCAAGGCGGTTCCGGAGTTTCCCATAGGTGATATCGTGAGCCATAGCTGCATCTCTGATATTTTTGAACTTTCCGCTTCTATAGGCTTTGACCGCGGCCAGAACCCGCTCTTCATCATCAAGTTTCTTTTTGGTGCCTTTCCGGGCCATTTTTGGTTACTGTAGGTTGCGATACTGAGATTTTCTTCCCCGCATTCACATATTTTAAGGTGGGGTTTGCTTAGTCACTTTCACGGTGTTGATCATTTCCCCAGTGGAATACGTTACAGTACAATATGTACGTCTTGCGAAGGGAGTGAAAGTTTGAAGAGCAGAATATGTATCAAGTGCCGAGAGATTCCGGGACCTTAATTGTGGATGCCTTCCTCGCCGCGTTACCAGCTTACCATTTACATACTGCCGCGGGTCACTTCCCAAGCAGCGCCAGCCGTGCGAATTCTCAAGCGTGCGCCGGAGCTTATGTATCCTGACGTCGCTTATGTCTTTGTTCAGCCTCAGCCTTCCTCAACTGAATGCTTGGTTCAGGGATGCCTGTCAAAAACCTAGAGTAACGTAACCAAATTGCTCCGTTGGAACCTTTGAGGCTCCGCCCTAACACGTCGTCTCAAGGGTCACGTCGTCTCAAGGGTCGCGTCATCTTACTTTACAACACGCGTCTTATCACTTCCACCGTTACAAACAACCTTATCAACAGAAGTGAGGCTGCAAACCAAATCTCGTATGGCGGCGATCATACAAGAAGGCCAGATGTCTGCCCCTACCCAGGGCGGACTCTTTCAAGGGAAAAGATTCTGGTTGTCAGCGAGAGTTCCCATGCGCAAAAGATTTACTGAACAGATCAAAGTCTAATCCCCTACCATAACCGCTTTGTAATGAACACCCATTGACTCGATGCAGGTGAATGGTGGAAACGTTGTCCTTAGTGAAAAGGATGCCGACATACTTATCGTGGATCACTTAAGGGACCATACAGGCGACACGGCGTACGGCTTCCTTTTATAATCGTTAGATAATGCTGTCAAATTTGGCACATTCACTCATTTTTTACGTATAGGTTCTCGTACAAATTTATTGAGAAATCCATAGAAAATAAAAAACTGGAAGACTTGGACGATCACAAAGTTGTGCCCATGGGAAAGAAAAAGACATCAAAGGCCAGTGGTCTCAAAGGGTATGTCAAGCATGACACCGAGATAGACTTCTACTGCCAAAAACTAATATCTTGGTATATAGTCGCAACACTTTTACCAAAGAAGATGACGACATTCTCTTCAAAAAACTGGCATCCGTTGATTCGGGCTATCAGGGCAATAAAATCTATCAGGAGCTCCACGCGGATGTAAGGAGGTGTCTTACCCAAGTGTTTGTTGATTTTTATTCACATCATCGCCCTAGCATCCGCACCATACAATGCACAGCTGGCGAGGCCGCTGGGTTGACCATTATTCTAAACTCGAGGAGTCCCGGTTAAGGTTAAAAAATTTGAAAATGACAAGGGATCAACTGGAAGCTGAAGCGGAATCGAATCAAATAGATCTGACAGCAAGTGACGAAGAACCAGAGGTTATTCCAGCTAAAAATGGTTTGGAAACATTTACCAAAGAGGACGAGGCTATCTTACAGAAAATGGCTTTTGAAATATTAGAAAGTTCTGGTGGCACAATTTATGAGAAACTGGGTAAACGAGTAGGTAGTCTTGATTGCTGCTATGCTGGCCTGTGCTAACTCTTAATTTGAAGAACCCACAACATACCCCCGAAGAGTGGTCCGCCTATTTCAACAAGATAATGCTTCCTAGGATCGCTCACAAGGGTACAAAGAAACCATCAGGCGAGTCCTCATCTAACGATCACGATGATGAGTCCGAAGATGAGGAACAGCCAATAGCTCCTATTAGCGAGGGGAGGGTTGTTTCCAAGTCTGTTCGGAACATTGAAGAGGCGCTTGAATCAACCCCAAGCTCTCTTAATCTAAAGGGCAAAAAGTTACAGCCCCCCGTAAACACCCAATCCCCGCTACGCACTATGAGTGTGAGAGAATCACCAAGACACTGGAGTAAGGAGGGAAATAAACCATTGGCAGAACTTCAACCTCACAAGAATGCAACTAATCCTTCAATTGGGCAAATAAAACCTACCACGAAGGATATTTCAAAAGCCATTGACGAAACAATAGCCACAGATATCCCAGAAAACCTGATACAGCAAAAACAACGAAAGAAAGACGAACCCAATAAGGGCAAGGCCCCTGAAATCACTCCTCTATCTCATGATAAAGTCCAGTCTGATATTCCACAAAATAACCAAAAACGGAAACGTGAAAAGGAACCCCCTCCACCGGAGCAGAGAAAAAGAAAAAGAAATTTTCACGATGTGATCGAATCTACGCCTGAGGCTGAACCAATCATACAATCTCGTGTGCTCTCTCCAGAACTTGGTGAAAGTTCCCAGAAGAGTTCCCCGCCTGTTATCAAGAACAAAGGGAAGTACGGTGAAATGAGCACACAGGCGTTATATGATCAGCTGGATGGGGGGGAGTTACTCGCAGATATGGAATTCCCTGAGTTGGAACTTCCAAGCACACCTACTTCTAGTCCTGCAGCACCACCACCGCCGCTCCCGAAAGAACAGGCTACCACACCAACTAAACCCTTGCCGAAAGCCCCTGCATCTGCATGGGAATCTTCGCCTACTTCCCCTAAAGATGGCGACTCGGGTAGCATAATGGAAATGAGTGTATTTCTTGACTATTGCCAGGAGAAATATAGGACATCGGAAAAAAAGGTTATCGACGCAATTGAGAGAACTAACGGGGTTAGAGCGTTGGTAGAGGTGATATTGAGATGCGATGCCGCAGGGAAAGCGCCGCCTGATCTCCCAGGGATATGGACCCGAGAGCAAGATCAAATTCTCCTGGGAGCAGATGGTAAGGGAATAAAGGAGTTGGCGGAAACTAAAGGGGAACAAATGATTAAGAGGATGGAGTTTTTGAATATGTGGAATAGGGCTTGATTCATTTAAAATGATTAATGTAACAAAATAGCTTTCGCATTTTTCGATTTAGCTCTCGTTTTTCTAGTTTCGCGCTTTTGACAAGCACAAAACGATGGGTTTTCCCACTCCTGTTATCCTAACCTTTAGGTGCATGTAGCTATGTATCTTGGATGTTTCAATTGCAACAGATAGAACTATGATGAGTTAACATCATTAGATAGAGTTCATGCGTTAAAGGAATCATTATTAGTCGTAGTTATAAGAAATATTTTAAACGGGGTAAGTTGTCAAATTGATTAGACTTGTCCTGGAGAAATTTGGAGATCGAAAAAAAAGGTGGCGCAAAATCACACCCTCAGGGCACCTTTTATCGAAGCCTGACATAGGCTGATAACTCACTCATTCCTCTGTTTTCAAGGTCGTACATACAGAGTGCTCGTTATAAAGTCTCGGCGTCTCAGCGTCTCGGAAGATCTTCCGAGTGGCTAGAAACCTCCTAGCAAGTGATACATCACCCCCGGAGATGGGCGTCCGAGTGATTTTGTGTGATTGAAGGCAACACTCACAATGTATTTTCCTTCTTTAAGCTCGGCACCAATAAGGCTCAAAAACAACAAATCCTTTATGCAGTAATGCAGATCAACGGGTGAGTTGTGACGGGCATGCAACAAATCGAAAAGTCCTTCGGTGGCACAAGGAGGCGCAGGTGGCTCACCGGGGTGAGAGGCAGAACTTCTAAGTCGGGAATCTCGGAAATCCAGGGAGGATTTCGGTGAGTTGGTTTAGTGTTTGATGTTTATTATATTGGAGGGAGCGCCGGTGAGATAGGTTGAGAGCCATGGTGATGGATGAGGTTTTCAGAACTTGAGTGTCTACGAGCTTGAGAGCTATGATAGCTTGGTTCTTCGAGATCCACTAGCTGGAAGAGAGTAAGGCTGATTATGGCCGACTCGTTCGGAGGTGATAAGTATGAGGTGGAAGCAGGGCGTAGGTACGCGCTCAATATCAGAAGTGAAGCCATTACTTTACCGTGCATGTGCAGTCTGGTATTGTACCCTAGGGTAAGGTAAGGTAGAGGTGAGGTTAGGTTTAGCTAGGGACGGTTGCGGGAGGCCAAGACCCCACACTGCAAAACCATTGGCGCAGCCTCGTCTGATGTTACACAACCTTCTATACTTAGCGCGTCTCGTCGACGTGGATCGATCCAGGGCTGAACATAACTAGGAACGGCTGCGCTTTGAGGTCCCACCTCCCCTCCATATCTACCGTACCTACAAAGCTGAATCGTAGTTGGTATATATCACAGCAGCTCCCACATCTCCCCCACTTACTTTATACTTCTTACCATTTGCCCTACTTGATTTCCTTACCTCTCTTCAGCTTCGTCTACCAGCTGCTTAACCCACAAAAAGTACTATACACCTTTAAACAATGGCTTTCAAGAAGAACCACTCCCCCTGGTCAAAGGGCCCGTTCTTCGGACTCCGTGCTCTCCAGTTCATATTCGCTACTATCGTGAGTGCAATCGCGAGTTACTTCAACTACACCCTCGATGCCGACGGTTACGAGATCCCGTGGGTGTTTCTTATTGTTGAGGTAGTTGTAAGTATTAAGCAATACCTAATGCAGGTCTCCATTGCTACAATCGCTAACCAAGATGCAGTCAGCATTAACATACCTCAACATCTTTGCTTCCAGCATTATCATGTGCTGCAACAAGCTCAGTCCCCTTATCATGATGGTTGCCGATGCAATCTTGGTCTTCATGTGGGTCTTTACATTCGCCATGTTGTCACGGGCAATGGGGAGAACCACAACTGAGACTTGCAATATCGCAAACTGGGGGAGTGATGCTGGTATCGTAATTTGCCACATGTACAAGTGCTTGTTTGCTTTCGTATTCCTCTCATGGTAAATTCACCCCCCTCTATTCTCTTTCTTCTTTTTGGGTCCCTCTGCTAACGGGGTTTGGGATGAAAAAGGGTAATGCACGTCGCATCCACCGTCTTGGCTTCCACTGTCCGCCGAAAGGTCAACACTCACGCATACGAGCCTGCAGCCAACCCTGGAAACTTTACAGCGAACAAGTCAGGCTCATACAACCCTGGTGCTGAGTCGGTTAGAGACGTGGATACCTCATACAGTGCGCCCAAGCACAACGCCGGCACATATGCTTAGGTAGAACGTCGGTGTGGGTAGTCGGGATTTATGATATATTGGACAAGGTTCTTTTGTGTGTTACTTTGAAGGAGTTATGTGCTTGTGGGTTTTTACTTGGTCATTTTTAACTTTTTTTCTCTTAAACTACGGTTTCAATACCCGGATTCTTTTTTTCTTTATTTTTTTCTCTCAAATCGCAATCTGCAGGGCAAATTTTACAGTTGCGTATCCTTAGCTAGCTAGGGAGGTGTCAAACAAACAAAAGATTGATAATTCTCGAAAACAGCAGACCTCACCGGGGGAAAAAAGCAAACCGAGTTTTGGAATAATGGCGAGTATGGTGCTTGATTTATGTCTTGTAGCCGAAACCGAGACTATCAGTCCTCTATATAACCAGTCAGATCGTGCCTCTGAGATTGAAATTTCGAGTGAATATACAACGAGTTTGAGAAATATGTGTTTTGTAGAGGAAACAGTGAAGCTTGTTGTCTGGAGACCATTTACCGGATTTGAAGGCAGTGCAGGTGTAAAGAAACCATTACCGGGTACTTGGATAATAAGAAATAAGCAGTACCGTTTGGTTTATTTGGCTTGGCCTGGCTCCGGTATCACTTAAGCTGTTACTTGAATGCTGATAACATGAGACACGGCAATATCAGACAAACTTCGTACGCAAGCTTAAGCCATAGAGTAGAGACATGATAGGTTAATTGGGCGTAAAGGATAGAGCTAAGTATTTTATACGCCATTGGATCTCAGACATGATAGCCTGCAGCTGGCTCGGGTGTAAGTCTAGTGGAGACAGTGCCGTGTCTAATACCTAGTTGGTGATAGAACTCCATGTACAGCGGTACGTACTGCCAGTCTTAGTTCATATTTTGTCTATTTTGAACGATGAACATCTTCCGGATTCTACTCCCCTTGGGGTAATAAAAAAAATGCAATTTTTGTTTTTAGGAAAGTACATGTATTTACAGGTATGTAGTTGCGGACTAGGGCGCTACATGCCGAGAACTGAGTGATTGTTTATGATTCAAGATCTTTTCCGACTGAGTCGCTGGGGGCGGGCACTACTATATGGTCAGTTATGGTTTCCAGTTCGGAGCCACAATGCCTCATTGTTTAGAACACTAGCCCAGACATTTTTAACTCAACTCTCGTTAATCTCAGAGCTGAGAGCTCATTCGTTCAACCATTCTCCTATTCCTCTCAAAGCCCCTAGTCCTATAATTACACGATTGTTAGTGCACATAGTCTCAGCTTAGATGATTGGACCACCATTTCGATTAATTTTGAGAGATTTTCTCTATGGACTTGTCGATCCCATAGGCCAGAGGATTGTAACTTAGTTGTAATCTACTTTAATCGCAATAACTGCATATGTCTGTAGCTAGGAAGATGATGGTTTAGAATTGTATCTTGAGGGCCTGATCCCCTATGTAGAATTATCCCCATAACACCCAGTATCGTAAATTCTCTTGTAACCTATATTTGTTTGATTAGAAATCGCTTTTTTCTCTTCCCTTATTCATATTAATTATTATATGTGCTATAGTCACTTGCAATTGTAGGAGTCGTATGCCTACATTTATGTAGTATTTCATTTCACCATTCTACCAAGGTTCAAGGGCGTACTATAGAAGTTTAGAATTCAAACCTTTGAGACCGCTCGAAATGAAATAAAATCTAGATTGGTAAATATCTAGTGTTCGTATTGATAGAGTCAGGTATTTTGAGCGTAGGACCGGAGGTGACCACTGGATCAGATCATGTTCTCCCGGCCTTCAGATTGGGAGAATAAGAATCTCTCGAAATCGCCACCATCATATACTATCACTCGAAATTAAGCCTCGAGACTTTGCGAAAAATATTAAGGTTGTCCTTGTCAAATCGCGTGAGCCCAGCAGAAAATGATTTAGCCAGTTGGGAGAAGATGGTGTATTGGTCTGGTTCTCTCTACTTTGGTGCCTACGATAGTAAAGTGAATGACATGAGAGTTCAGTTAAGAGAGGGAAGAGGGTTTTGATGTAAATAAGAAGAGTAGTTAGCGGAGCTAAGTATAATACAAATCGATTAACTATTTGTAGCCGTGAGATGAGGCATATAGTTATAAATACAGAGAAAAGTTTATAGGGTTTCATGAACGACATGAAATAAAGAAGAGCAAGCTGGGACCTTAGATGTAAAGGAAAGGATGAGAGTTACATGTACTTTACCGTATTTTATTAGATAACACAATAGCCTGGCCATACGGGTGGTTAGTTACTGCGTCAGAGGGAGGGAGAGAGCAGAGGTGATTCGGAGTCTGATAAGATCATCGGTTCAAGATTTACTAGTGATGGAGAGGAGAAGTAAGCGAATGAGTGGGAGAGGCTGAAAGGGAAAGAAAGCGAACGACGGGAAGGAAGCGAATGAAGGGAAGAAAGCGAACGAAGTTTTTTTTAAAAAAGCGCCTCTTGGTTGTAAATGTGAGTGATGGCCTGTGAACTGCTAATTGAGCCTAATAATGTCTTGGCGCCACTTTCCTATCCCGACCACTGGACTACATCATACATGTGTTTACATGGATACGACCCCCCGACCTTCTAGATGACAAAGCGTTTGATACCAATGATGTGATAACAGCTCAGTGGTCATAAGACATTGCGTTGAATTTCAAATTAACACTGCAACGCGCGATCTGTGCCTCTTGTTCATTATTCTAAGCGGCCGGGATTGAGGTAGTTTACGAGGCCTTTAAATTTTTAATTTTCAAGTCCAGCGGAATATCAATAGAGGTTTTACCGAAACTATCGAATGATATCCAGCAAGAACGTCCCTTCCGGGTCGCCGAATACGTGCTAAAATCTGACTTGAATACTACATGTATATATCGTTAATTCAATTAAAGTTATGCCTCGTAAGTCGTACCACTATCATGCGATTCTCGGTTTCTATAGTTTCTGTAGATTATGAGATGTAGTTTACTTCGGCGATGGGTCAAAATACCACCGAGTCGGTTAGGTTTTGTGTACTACGGGGGTGGGGGGCTGATTCTGGCGATAATTGATGCTGCTGCTGCAATAGAAGCTTTGCTTGTGTAGTGCCACCTGGGACGCTACTTGCTGCGGGTAGGAGATGGGAGCGAGACTAAACACACCGCAATCTACCGCTAGACCTAGCTGGTACATCCCCACCCCCACAATATGCGCTAGATGCCGCAATTTTTAGGATGCATGGTGAAAAGAGAAAGCTTTGTAATCAAGAGTACCATTTCTACTAGTGTGAGCCTCAAGTAACGACACTCCTCCAACTTCTGTACCCCTCGCAAGTCCCTTTAAACATTCACTAGATCCATCAGTGCACCACTAAGAGATTGATTTTTCATCCAGCGGATATTGTTGTTTCTAGCACTTGATGTTTTTTCATTCCGGCTCCATTGGATAGCAAGATGGGCCAAGAGTTACTTGGAGTCATACTCGGGACTGACTTCAGGACTTCAGCTTTATCGACGTCGAAAGCAGCTTTCTGGGTGTTTGCCGAGTATAGTATGCGGTACATATGCATGATTCGGACCCCACGTACCCCCAATTGCAAGGACCCCACGAAGCTCTTTAATATCAGCAACCCCAGATTCCCCAAAGCTAGAAACCTGGGGGGCATGAACATAGTACGATTATTGATCAATATCAACGCTATCGTGTACTACTTTCCAACCTGGGGTGCTTGATATGATTACGGGATTTGGCTACGTGGCTCGGTACTACCATTGATCCTTCTCTTGGGTCGGTTAGAGACACCCGCACATATCATAATCCCGATAGGAGCCTCTGCTATCGAGAGTGTCCCGTTAAGAGTCATACATAGCGCGATGTTAATATTGTACATGGTGGAGCTCGCGAGTGATACCCTGTGATCACGCTATATATCACATCTTGTAATGTGCTAACTCGAATTTTGTCAGTAACCTTGGGGTTTTCTTTAATATTAATAGTGTTTAATGAAAGGAAACTACATGAAATTGTTATGTAGGCTAGCATGCTATTGATTCGACTGCAATTACCACCTTAGGAAGGCAAGAAAACGTCGTATTTTCTATGGCCTACTACACTAGCCCACGCATGCATGGGGGGTTGTATGTAGTTTCTTTGACTTTGGTTTTAATTTATGCGTGCGCAGGCTAAACTCATGACGATAAAGCTTGAGATGCTTAACCCAACACAAGTCCCTTGGCTCAAGATCTTGGCAGAATATCTGTTTCGGATATAATCAAGAGCTACTTGCAGTAGTGATGAACAGTGGCGAGGGATAATGAGCTTAATTGATTGACAAGCGGGGAAGGAGATGTAAAAGTTCCGGCGATGAAATACTTATTCCGGTTTCAGATCACGAGCATGGAGCGAGACGAGCTGGTTTTTTGAGCCAGTCCACATACATACATCATTTACCTCATTGCACATACGCATAAACAATCAGCCTTAGATGCAAGGAGAAATATCAGGTCAGATATATATATATATACGGACGTTCTATCCGCGATCCTAGGTTTTGGAATTCCCAGTCAGCGCATATTTGGCTTACTCAGTAAACAATGGGATATGCCTTGTGGAATTTATACATCGGCCTCGTATGCAAGATGTCTTCTATTATCAGATTACTCTCGATAGACATGGTTGAAGTGGTGGTCGGGTATGTTAGATAGTCCCAGAAACCGGTATGAGTGTGGGGTAGAAAAACAGCACCTGGACATCATGTGCGGGGATCCGCGGGAGTCTGAGCCTCAAGGCCAGTCGTAACACAAGAGTCGTTCAATGTTATCGGATCTTGATATTCAGACTCCGCCAGCTAAAGTTTGTTCCGGGAAAACCTCATGATCTCAACAGTACCTGCATCCAGTACCAGGAACGTTAACGGCTCGGTAGTAGCCGGCCGGATATGCACCCCGTACTGCCTACTAACTACACGAGACGTCACTCCATACCAAGACTTAAAGTTGAGCTCTTTGACAGACTTACCTCATATAAGTTATTCTACGCCTCTAAAGTATAAACAACTATATGAACCATCCATACAATTCTCCGGTCCGGGTTCCGCGCTTCAGAAATTTGGTTTTTGTTGTTGAAGAAAGCCTTGGAACCGATGATATCTACTTTATTTTATTTATACACCACAAGTCACAAGTGCAAGTGCAGATTCGAAAATTAAGGTCTGTTAACAGGGGTCGGGGTAGTGTTCAAAGATCCTATTGGTTTTCCACGCAGAGTTTCTAATACGGCACCCTTGTTCCTGTATTGATTCGTGCAACTGGAACACAAGCTGACGATAAAAGGAACCTAGCTAATAAAGTAGCTAGGTACGTACCACTTGAATGCATGCCACCTGGTTCCTAAAAGAGCGAAGGATCAACAATGTAACTCATCAGCTTATGCTGTTTTGTAGATGATCAGTTGTGGCAGCTTTGGTACCTATCATATCGATTATCACCTCCGTTGGTGATGTATCAAAGATTTAAAAGGAGTGGTTTCCCGCACCTCATGCAAGAATTATCTTCACTATTCAGCTCTTACTTCTTGAGAATTGTCTGTCAATCATTTTGAGTTCAGCTTCAACGAGATATAACTCAAATCATGGTTTTCCGTATCAGAGATATCGTCACCATCCTGGGACTTGCGAATCTTGTCCTATCAGCACCAGCTGATTCACTGCAGAGAAGGCAGTCAACGATCGTTGACTGCCTCGAAGCAGCTTCAGTCCCTGTGATCTCCAATTCATCCCCTAACTACGCTTCCGAAGTCATTCCCTATAACCTCCGTACACCATTCTTCCCCATTGCTGCCGCTGTGCCCGAAACCGCTGATCAGGTGTCATCTGCTGTGATTTGCGCAAATCAATTTGGTTTGAAAGTTGCTGCTAGGTCTGGAGGACACTCCTATGCTGGTTTTGGGCTTGGTGGTCAAGATGGGTCTTTGATGGTCGATATGAAGAAGTTTAAATACGTCAATCTCGACCCAGTGACCCAGATTGCTACCATCGGTGCTGGAACTCGTCTCGGAGATGTTTCGTACAGTCTATATAACCTGGGAGGGCGCGCGTTACCTCATGGCCTGTGTCCAGGGTAAGTACAAATAACCAGATATCTTTGAATCGTCCGTTGATTACTAATTTGGTAATTGGTAGTGTTGGTATCTCTGGACATGCGCTTCATGGAGGTTATGGATTTGCTTCTCGCATGTGGGGAACAACTTTGGATACGATTCTTGAGATGGAAGTCGTCCTTGCTGATGGATCGATTGTCACCACCTCAAGGACTGAGAACGAGGACCTATTCTGGGTATGTCAATATTGCCTTCACACTCGCATATATCAAGAAAAAAAGATGAATATTTCTTATCAACTCACAAAACTTTGTTAAAATGATATCTATGAGCGATTAGGTGTATGAATAAGCTAACACAAAGGTCTAGGCTCTCCGTGGTGCCGGTTCTTCCTTCGGTATTGTGACAAAATTCAAGCTCCAAACGCTCGAAGCACCTGCCAATGGTGTCAGGTTTACCTATTCATTTGGCGTACCCACCACTGGTTCAAATATCTCGTACCACGTCCAAATTTTCCGGGCTCTGCAAGAATATGCTCAAACTACCGCCCCCAAGGAACTTGCCTTGAGATTATGGACCCTGACCGATGTTTTCGAAATCACCGGTGTCTACTGGGGCACCAGGGAAGACTTCGACACAGTTATTGCACCGCTTGTTGCGAGCTGGCCCGCCCAGACTACTGTGGTGATTGAGGAGGACAATTGGCTTGACACGTTGGTTGCAGTAGCAAATGGAGCTACTCTTCCTCAGCCACTCGACTATACTCAGCACGACACTTTCGTAAGATCAAACCCCCCCCCCCCCCCCTCTTTCTTTCTATGATAGCTATTAGGGGTTCTCTCGATATATCGCATAATGATCTAACAACTTCGCGTTGCAGCTTGCGAAAAGTATTGTTGCGCCGGAGCCACTGACTTCTAATGCCTTGACTTCATTTTTCAACTTCCACCAGAACAGCAGGGATGCCCCAGTAGTAAGTGACCTATATCTATGTAATCCACAAAGGGGTAGTAAAAATACTAATACTTCCTACTATCAAGCCCTGGTGGGTTATTGCAGATCTTTACGGAGGTGTTCATTCCAACATATCCTCGTTCTCTCTTGATTCCGCATCATACGCTGTACGGAATTCGCTATTCACCTTCCAGCTTTACGCGACTACTACGCTTCCTCCGTTTCCAGCCAGTGGTATCAAATTCATGGACGACCTGGCAAAATCACTCATCTCAGCACAACCCGAGACTACTTTCACGGCTTACCCTAACTATATTGACCCTACTTTGAGCGCAAGTGATGCCCATAGGTTGTACTATGGGTCCCAGTACCAGAGACTGCTCAACATTAAGAGGAGTGTTGACCCTATGATGAGATTTTGGAATCCTCAGGCCATTGGTGTATGATGTGTAAATCACTAGTACATAAGAATTTATCTTTTTATTTTCTGTTAAAAAATTTAGCGTATATATATATGAATATATTCCAACGAATAAACACAAAATGAAGAAGAATAAGAAGAAGAAGAACAGGTCCAGACATGTATTTGATTATCTGGTACCATAAAAGAAAAGCTTGATTAGAACATGGGGGTCTATCGTGGCTGAGAAGTCTCTGTTTGTACCCGTCCGCATGCAGTAATGTACCTGAGATTTGTGGTAGACCCTTGCATCAAGTTGGGTTTTGTAGCAACAAGTATATAGTATGATCACCATGAACTCCTGTAGTTGGTTCACCTCGAACCAGCATGGGGCTGCATAATATAATGTAGATAGATCGAAATCCTGAACATGTCGTAATATACGGGTAGATACACAATTACACAAGAGGCTTCTTGGCCCGATCGTATTTAAACAAGGCTGCTTATGCGCACTCGATCGACCTGAGAACTAGATCCGTGTAGATAATAGAGAGGTATATATAACAAATGAGGTGCTCTCTAGTATGTACATACTCTATGCGGACAATTGGTGATAGCTTGGCGTGGTTATTTCCCTCAATAGAGGGGAATTCGAGAAGGCTGCAAAAGTACGCATTATGTGGGCTCAAACGGTCAATTTACATAGATTGTGGATTGTTAGAGTGAGCGAAACATGCATATAGTTGCAGGCTAGTTGTTCTTCCCCCATGTATCCAAGCTATGCCACTTACACTAGTGACTAGAATCAAGTGAACACTAGGAGATCATAATCAACTTTTAGTTAACACTCCGTGAGAATGATTAGTTATCAAGCATGATCTTCAGGAGCTTAAGTGCAGGGAAGAGCTCGCTTTCTGGGGATGATCATCGAGTCAGAGATTATGCCTTATTCTTCGGGTCTTTGTTGTCTCTGCCAGAAATGATCACGTCCCCGTAGTAAAAATTAAAGCTTTGCACCTTATCACATCCGCGATTTCTCGGTGCGTTCGGTACTATGTAGCGTCTGTATTTCACTTTTAGTGATCAACCTGGAGCTTAAGGTTCTGATAGTCGATCGTGATAAGGATTTTCAGGCCCAGCTCATCTATGTGTTTATACCCCTCAATAACTTCGTTTGCGAACCTAAAACTGCGGCTGTTGAGGTTGTAGGTGAGACGATAATATTCAATCTAATTCGAGAGAATATTTTCCGCCGACGACAAGGATTGGGCTTCTTCCGGCGGGTTTCGCGGTAGAGATTGTCTTAATTCCACATTTGGTTGCTGTACTAGTAGTACAGCTACGATATATCTAGATTGTCGAACAGCTGTGAATATTGCGCCCCAGGTGTGGTGGAGGTGAGCTAATTGCTTCGAGTCCTGTGCATAACTTGGCGGTCATGATATCAGCTGTCCCAGCGAGAAGGTGTATCATCCGCGACGAAGACCGCGAGGGCTTTACCTACTTCGGGGCTGGCAAGCTGATGCTTTCGAAATTTCGGAACTATTGTCGGAGGATTCCGGTCATAGGAATGATGTGGGGGGTTGTAGTGCTCTGGGAGGAGTGAAGGAGTAGAAGAAGGAGGAAGATGGAGAAGCATGGGCAAACAAAGATTTCCCTAGCTCGCAATTCCGTACCCATGTCTCTCTCTTTATTGTGTGTTGCTACGAAAATCATGCCGGAAGTCGGGAACAAATTGAAAGTGAACACGGGTTATGGGAGAAAATTTCCGGGATAGCGGTTCGTCTTTCCGGGTGCGCGTTTTCTCGCTGGGAACAGAATGAGACGGTTTTCAAGGTGCTGGAAGATATTTCCAGGCACTGAAAAATCGGCCATTAAAATGGGCTCTGGTAATCTATTCGATAATCCTTCCCTTCTTTTGGTCTGTCTTTAAGCCCCCCAATTCTCCACGCGTCCCTTATGCTCATGCCATATATGACGCGAGTCCCACCACTTTCATTCTCCCCTCTCTCCCAGGTCCACATCGAGTGATAAATCCACATAGAGAACCCCAGCTGTCCTGTCGGTCTCACTTTGATGGTGGCCTTGGGTGAGGGAGCATGAGTTTCGGATATTGAAAAGATCGAGTGCCATAGTAAAGAATGCAAACATGGTGGATAATGCGTCCGTCTAGGGCGCAAGACGATACCGAAGATGACGAGATACTGGTCCACAGAGTAGCTGTCTATAAAATAAGTTTTCTTTACTTAAATCACCAAAAGGAAACTTTTACCTTGGTCGGAAGAAAAATAAAGTCGTTGTTTTTGAAAGGAAAAGGCCAAGCTGGAAGCACACCTTTCGCACTAGTCGGTTATCTTTTACCCCCCTTTCGTTTGGTTCCTTCGACTCTAGAGTAAGAAAATAGTAGGTAGGAAATAGGATATCTCAAGAATATAAAGTAAGTTTCTATAGGTTTATTAAGTATAGTTACTTTATGGTAGGTCTCAACGTACGGGGATATTGGGATAATTTATAAGCGGGTGTCGGTTGGACTGGATCCAGGCCCAACGCATTTATAAAGATTCGGTAGCAGGGAATGGATACTCAAAATCGAGACAGCACCGAGTTTCACGATTGCACTTGTATTTGTAATTAAATAAATTTACAATTCAATTATCACAAATTATACTACTTGCCTGTTTTTTAATACATGCTCAGGAAGGGAAGAGATTATAGTAGAGGATAATAGCAACCCTAACCCTTATATCTTGCCTATTCCTCGAAAGGTTAGACCTTATGCTGATCGAGTGATATGTTATGATTCTTGATCAAAGGTACTTCCATGGCGACATTCAAGGGTAACAGAGGTACCTCTGCATGTATCCAATCTTATGGTTATTTTCAGTGAGCCGTAAAAGCACATCTCTCGGAATTATACAGGGGGGACAGTGGTGGCGGTGGCGGTGGCCTAGAACTCACTATTGACCTTTCAATCCCGCCCACGTTCATCAAGAATACCCTTCGAATCCAATAATGCCCCGGTAAAGAATAATCTTATCGTCATTCTCGGGACTATGCAGACTTTGAAACCCTGAATCAATGCTCTGAACGAATAGAGAGTCACATGGTATTAGGCGAAGAAGCGGCTTGGCACTTCTTCCACTGGCCGGTTTCCCCTCAATCCTATCTGCTTCCGTGGACCAGATGATGTGACAGGGTCATGATTGATGTCGTTCAACTTCTGATTGACCTGTAGTGATATACCATCCGCTGCTGGTGTGATTTTGAACTGTCTCCAGGGTAAGTGTGACAACAGCGGCACATGTTCAGCCGTTCCGAAAAGGCCATGGAGAGGGTTTACAGAACAAAGGGCGGTTGATGAGGGAACGAAAGGTGTGCTGCGGCCGCAGTCATATATAATAGAGGTAGTACACAGCTCTGGTGCAGGAGAAAGAAGAAATCATCAGCTCTACCTGTCACGAATAACAACGAAAACGCATACGAAGTGAATGGAATGTACAAAAATGCTTCACACAGTCCCACAACCTTCGGGGTACTTGAGGAGCATTGATTGGCAAGGATTTATTCTCGATTTTAAGTATCATAGAAACTCTATATCCGTCTATATGCATATACTAAGTCTTCTATAGATTTCCCTCGGATTAAAGCACGCATGGCACAACATAGTCCATGGGCCAGTTAAGCAGGTTAAATGGCAATAGATAGTAAGATAATGTTGATTATTGTCCTTAACTTCTTTTGGCAAATCATATACTAACTTGTACAATTGTCCTTAAGTACGATTTCTTCTTACTACTTAAATTATAATGCCACACTACTCAGGGGGAGCACATCTACGTGTAATTACTAAGCTTACATGATTTAGTTTATGTTGAGCATGGACTAATGCAGAAAAGTCATTACCTGCTCGTAGAAGATCACCTAACCGCTGACGAATGTCACACATGTTGAAACTAGGTGTAAAAGAGCTAAGCTAGAAACAGACATAAAATTAACATTGTGAGCATTTCCAGGGGCAGTTTTAATTGGTCTGAATCAAATGATTAATATATCGGTATGTACATCGGAAGGCTTCCTTTTTTTGGGTCAGTTTCTATGATAACATGTACCACAGGGACCAAAACTTCAGTGGGGTTAATTGAAAGATATTATCTAATAACCTAGCAGTCGATTGAGGGCTGAAATTTTCACACTCGATAAATACCTCTATTCCTTACGATCAAACAGAAGTGCTGTCTGTATAAGAGGACGAAGGATCATCTTTACGACACTTACAAAGATCTAACAAGCCTCGAGCCCAATCAATGATCATGATCTTTGACTTCTGGATATCGAAAATCTTCCCTCGACATTTAATAAATCGTAACAAATAGCTAGTTGAGCACAACGCTGCTTACAATAAAGCTAGTTGTTGCATGTTAGATAACTTCACAACTCATCACTCGTGTCGGGAAATCCGCTAATCCTCGTGACCAATGATCCAACTACTATAGGATATCACGAGAAGTTGCAATTGTCGCACATGACTGATAAACGAGAGATAATCATTCTTCTCCTTCTTCTGGATTAGAGTTTTCAGATTACTTGAGCAATTCTCCGGATCTGCCGGAACAATTGGCCACCTCGGGCCACCTCGGTCCTGGAGAGAGAAAAGGCCTAAGAGGAGTGCAAACTCAATAACACCATCATGCTGCACCAGCCGTCTTAAACACACTTTATTGAAGCTCAACAGCCACAGTGCGCACGCCCGCCGGTAATAACTGATAAGAGCGGGAGCATAACATGGGTCGAAAGCATGCGCGGCGAAAAACAGCTCATCCAAAGCACGGCAGTTCTTTCCATGATGACCCGAAGATTAGGTCGAAATGGAGAATGACCTTCATGCTTGCAATTAAAACACACAGCTCGCCATAATGCAGCTTTTTCCGAGGGGTCCACAGAACAATTATGCTTGCATGTCGGTGTATCCTGTCAAAGACCTTGATCCAGTCAACGAGGCAAGTTGTGTTTATGAGGGACTCCGGTGCAAACAACAGTATTACCAAA